CTTAGGCTTTGTGTGAGTTTTAGTACAATATGCTAAAATAATTGCCACAAATGTATTTGCTCAGAAATCCCAGATTCATCATAAGTCAAAAGCAAAGCATCCAGTGAGTTAGATATCATGTGCATAATAATGTGCTTGTCAGCACTGTTAATCGGAATCCATATTCATGAGCAGCGTTTGGTCCCACACGCTAAATAAACTCTAATTACGAGTACGCCATGTTTGTGTTCTACATCAGAAGTCAGATTGGTCCGTCAATCAGCCAGGAGAAACCAACAAGTCGTGTGGAGCTCAGCAGCATCACACTCCCTCATCATAAGACACGGAAGAAATAAAGAACAAAACAACCGCATAAGCCAAAGCCTGGCTTCCGGACATGATACATCTGTGGTTGTTCATTTTGTGACTCAGCTTCACTGTTAAACAGAGGTTCACGGGGTGCCTACTAGATACCACACTCTTTTCATACTTCACTTCATCCTCGCCTCAATCCTGGGTGGTATGTTTAGTTCCACTGTAAAAATTAGAAAATGGAAGCTCAGAGAGATAAGTTAACTTGCCCAAGATCACATTAAACATTAAGTAGTTGCACTGGGGTTGGGTCCTAAGAATGTCTGATCAGAGAACCAGCACTCTTCCCACTGGTCACTGCTTCCTTATTTGACAGAACTTTTGAAGCCCTGGTGGCACAATGGTTAAGAGCTCGGCTACTAACCAAAAGGTCACAGTTCTAATCCACCAGGCGCTCCTTGGAAACCCAATGGGGCAGTTCTACTCTGTCCTACAGGGTCACTATGAGTTGGAACCGCCTCGACAGCACCTAACAACAACAACACTGGAGGCAGAAAGAGCGCATGATACTGTCCTAAATGATCAGAACAGACGTCCAAAAAGAGACAGCACCTCCCTGCACAAGATTCACTACTAACGTAGAAGAAAAATACGCGTGCATGTCATTAACCAAAATAGTGATACCTTTTTTTTTTTCAATATGGAGTCAATCCAAGGAAGAAAATTGTTCAGATAAGTACACCTCTGTCTTGGTTATCTAGCGCTGCTATAACAGATATACCACGAGTGGATGGCTTTAACAAAACAGAAATTAATTTATTTCTTCACAAAAAGTAAGCTAAAAGTCCAAATTCACAGCGTGAGCTCCAGGGGAAGCCTCTCTCTCTGTCTCTCTGTCTCTCTCTCTGTCTCTCTCTCTGTCTCTCTCTCTCTCTCTGTCTCTCTGTCTCTCTCTCTCTCTCTGTCTCTCTCTGTCTCTCTCTGTCTCTGTCTCTCTGTCTCTCTGTATCTCTGTCTCTCTGTCTCTCTGTCTCTCTCTCTCTCTCTGTCAGCCTTCTCATCTACCCCACCACCACCACTACTAGGAGCTTCTCCACACAGGGGCCCCAGGTCCAAAGGACACGTTCTGCTCCCAGCACTGCTTTCTTGATGATATGAGGTCCCCAACTCTCTGCTTGCTTCCCTTCCCTTTTATCTCTTGAGAGAGAAAAGGTAGTGCAGCCCATACCCCAGGGAAACTCCCTTTACATTGGATCAAGGATGTGACCTGGGTAAGGGTGGTGTTACAATCCCACCCTAATCCTCTTTAACATAAAATTACAATCATAAAATGGAGGACGATCACACAATACTGGGAATCATGGCCTAACAACTTTGACACGTATTTTGGGAGGACAAAATTCAATCCATGACAACCTCCAAAAAACATCATTTATTTTAAATATTTTCATTGAAATATTTCCATTATTAGTCACAGTTCTCTACCCTGTAAAACAGAGTATACTGAATATAGTTTATCTTTTAGGGAGGATTATCATAATAAACAAGGGCAATAGTGGGTCAGTGGTACAATCCTTGCCTTCCATGTGGGAGACCTGAGTTCGATTCCTGACCAGTGCACCTCAAGCGCAGCCACCACCCATCTGCTGCTGGTTGATTTCATGTTACTATGATGCCAAACAGGTTTCAGCAAGAGATTCTAGACTAAGATGGATTAAGAAGAAAGGCCTGGCAACATACTTCTGAAAATCAGCCAAAGAAAACCTTATGTATCACAATGGTACAATCCCATTGTGCTTGTGGTTGGAGGCCCATTCCACAGCAGGGAACGATGACAACATCGTAATAAACACTGACTTGCTTAGTGCGGGATAAGAGAATGATATCTTCATACGTGATTCAAGCTATTAAAAGCAAAGCAGGTTAGGCCATTTGGACCTACCTACATTAAGAGACCACTGACCCCCGTGCTTATTAAATTCTTCTGTTTATAGTTTCTTTTTCTTTTTTTTTTATCAGCTATCACCTACTGACATAAGCAAACTGTCTTCCAGAGAGTCATTTCCCCTTATGTCCAACGAGTTAGTTCTAAACTCAGCTTTCTAGAACTGTATCTAAAATCAAAAGAACTAGGTTGTTTGTGAAGGTGTCTGTAAATCTCCTGCAAAAAAAACAAACTCATTGTCATCGAATCGATTCCGACTCATAGCGACCCTACAGGACAGGACAGAATTGCCCATAGAGTTTCCAAGGAGCGCCTGGTGGATTCAAACTGCCAACCTTTTGGTTAGCAGCCATAGCTCTTAACCACTGTGCCACCAGGGCTTCCCAAAGCTCCTATGGTTGTAACATAATATATAATGTATGAAGGAATCTAACAATAAAATCTATTGCATCCATTCATCTATGAACGATAATAATTTGATCACATCAATATATACTGCATATTAATCTCAAAATGTCAAACAACATCACACTTGAGGTATCCCTCTCAAAGTCAGAAAAAAAAAGAATACCTCCTTTCACCACTAATATTTACCATTGTTTAGAAAGTTTAGAGAACGCAATAAAACAAGGAAAAAAAGAAATGTTATTAGAAGAGAAGTAGAAAGTATAACTATTTGCAGAAGAAATAACTACACAGAAATCCCTAAAGGCATAACTAAAAAATTCTTAGAAGTAAAAAGATAGTTTTTTAAAGTGGTTAATAGATATTAACAATATCTATTGAGAGACTGAATAATAAAGTGAGTAATAGGATAACCAAAGCAATAACTTTTTAATACACGAATGATACCAGTTGAAAATTGTAATGGAAAAAAAGCTCCTTGCAAAAGTAATAAAAAAAATCTATGAATAAACAACAATATACACAATTTTACTGAAGAACAGAAAAGACTAGCTATATTGTTTATTAAAAATAAGATTGTTCTTAAATTGACTCATCATTTAATGTAATTCCAATCAAAAGCTCAGTTTTTTTTTCTAATTCAACAAAATTATTCTGGCAAGCCTTTATTAAAAACAGATGAAATCATTCAAGAAAATTATGAAAAGAAGAATAAGGAGACACTTTATCGAACGTTAAAATGTACTATAATTAAATACAGTTGGGTTCTTACATAAGAGTAGGAAAACACCAATGGAGCAGCTGGAAAATCCCAAAAAAGACAAAATATCTAAAAATATTTGTGTATATAACAGCGATGGTATTTGAAAATAGTAATTTTGAAGTCAGGCAAGTTTGTGTTCAATTTCTACCGTATACAAATTGTACAACCTGGGAGAAGGTATTCAAACTTTCAAAGTAACAATTTCCCCCTCTGCAAAATGGTGATAATATTGACAACATTAAATAAAATAATGTACACAAAGCAGTACCTGGCACATATTAAACAATAATAAATAGCAGTTATTATTAATATTATAGCAAGTGTTTAAATAATGAGTAAACTCTTTGATAACAAACCTAATCAGATCTCAGCTTCACACAATAAAGTGAAATAAATACATAAAATGTCAGGCTGGCAGTTGGATGCCCAAGTCCGGAGTTCAGGCAAAAGGCCAGAAGTGGAGATACAAACACAAGCATCATGGCAAGCAGCTGATGGGAGGACTGCCAGGTCCCCTATCAGAACCACGGGACCCTGTGAGATGTACAGATGATGAGATGACATGACTCTGGGAGAGGTGTGGGTAGAGAACAGGATGAAGCCATAAGCCTTCTGACCTCCTAACGTTAGCCTCCCAAAGATTCTTCCTGCTTCTTATCTTACCCCATCCAAGCCAATTTCTAGCTCTGTAACTATGGGCAAGTTAACTAAACACTCGGTGCCTCAGTTCCCTCATCTGTAAAATGAGGATAAAAATATCACGTGAAGATTAAATGAGTTAAGGTACATAAAGTGGTCAGATCAATGCCTAAAAAATCCACTGCCATTGAGTCAATTCCAACTCATAGCGACCCTTTAGGACAGAGTCAGCCGGGTTCAAACCAAAGACCTTTTGGTTAGCAGTGAGTGGTTTAACCACTGTGCCACCAGGGCTCCTTAGAGCAATGCCTAGCACATGGTAAACGCTAAGTGTTTGCTGTTATTATTACTCAAGTTTCCTCCAGATCTCAAAATGTGAAATTATAGAGGATGATCTACAGATTTGTAGATGAGGATATCCATGGTTACCTATGCAGTGTGTATATGCGCGTGTGTGTGTGCACGCGTGCTTTGAAGAAGGGTGAAGGTTGGTTGTAGATTAAGGCTGACCAACAGCAATATAATGTGAGCAACAAGTGAAGTAAATTTTAACAGTATATTTTATGTAACCCAATAAATCCCAAATATTATTATTTCAACATGTAATCAATATAAATATTATTGAGATATTCTACATCTTTTTTTATACTATGTCTTTGAAATTCAGTGTACATTTTACAGGTACAGCAATCTCTATTTTTGGATGAGCCACATTTTAAGTGCTCACTAGCCACATGTGGCTAGAAGCTACCATATTGGACAGCACAGCTCAAGATAAATGAGGAGATCAGAAGCTAGACTCATGACTGTCTGAGACAGATAGCTAGAGAAGACTCTTTATGAGACAGGGCTAACTTGATCAAAGATAGAGAAGGAAGAGAAAATTTCTGCAAATGAAAGATAACTGTGCTTTCCTTTTTTAGTCAATGTGTACTTTATCATTCCTCTGTCAAACAGAATCCTGATTCATGATCTGCAAAAAGAGATTGAGAAACAGTTTGATGTTAAAGAAGCTATCCCAGGCCGGCACAGCTATGCAAAATATAATAACTGGGACAAGGTACAGTATAAAATGCCTATACTTCGAAAAAAAGTCATACTCAACATCCATTGTCAGTTTTCTTTTATTCTAATTCCTTATAACTGATTTTGCTCCTAAGATTGTTGTATGGACTGAAAAAATGATGAATAAGCACCCCGAAATGGTATCTCGTATTAAAATTGGAATGACTGTTGAAGATAATCCACTCTATGTTCTCCAGGTAAAAATAATTCCAGAATGATTCTTTATTAATGTTCAAAAGATGAACTTAAATGTTACTTTGTGACACAACTGGGCTAATTTAGACGCGATAAAAAGACTTTCTCTTTTGAAGAACATTTATAGATGTTCATTCAAGGGTAGAAGTGACAGGTGGTTTTAGGCGGTAAACCATTTATCAAAGTTTACTCAGTGGACATGCTACGTAATATCTCATCCCTCATCCCATATCTTCCTCTACAAGAGTATGTGAATTCCCTGGTGTACAAAACAGTTTCCACTCATTAAAATTCAGTGAAATTGATAAATGAACATAATGAAGAAGAGAGAAATTTAAGTATTATAGAATCATAGGATCCCAGAAAAGTAAGTGAACCATTTCAACCCCACGTTGATGGGGGATTCCCTTCTGTGACAGGGCTGACAATGGCCATTCAACTGCTACTAGATTTTTGTACATCCAAAGACACTGCTCCCTGAAGCAGCCCTCCAATAACTGAGAAGTCTTTCCTTACCCTGAACTCCTACCCATTCATTCTCTCCAACCACCCAAAACAAATATAAACTCTCTTCAAAATGATAGCCCTTCAAATATCCAGCCACTCTCCACGACCCCTCTTCCTCCCCACTCCAAACATAACTACAGAATCTTCTCTACTCCAGGCTAAACATGCCCAGTTTATGAATCCAAGCAAGCAAAAGCAAATGGCAGAAGCAAAAGTGTCTTTTTAATCTATTTCTCAGACCAAAGGATGTTAGCAATACGATGAGAAAAACAATAGATTGTGACTTAAAAAAAATCCTAAAAGTAACTCTGACACTAAGAAACATTTTTGAAAACTAAACTATATAATAGATGATAAATTATGCATAGGCATTTAAGGATATATGCCATGGTCCTCCCCGAGAACAATACATGCATAGACAGTCATTCAACAATAGGCAGGGGAAAGAATTGTTTTGAAGAGACTATGAAGGAGTTATTGGACAACATGGGATCAGTGTGTGAGTTCATGCAAAATAATCTCAAGTTTATTTTTAAATAGGTTGGGAAACAGGATGAAAGAAAGAAGTCTGTTTTTATGAACTGTGGCATCCATGCACGAGAATGGATCTCCCCAGCATTCTGCCAGTGGTTTGTCTATCAGGTAAGTGAATCAGAACTCTTGCAATTCTCCTCTGACTGGCAAGTCTCCAGCGCTTCACTAGTGGTGACACCCCTTTCCAAACGAGTGCAGTTCCAATCAACTACAAGAGCCCACAATTTGGTGCTGTCAGATAATGAATGATCAGGATTTTACTCACCATCGTAATTTTTTATAAAATTGACACCTTCCTTCAAACTTCTTGAACTCCTGCTGACAGCTTGTGAGTCTAAAAGGAATTCTTTTGGGCTATAATATGAAAGTTTTTCCTTTAGTGAAGTACAGTAAATCTGAAACCGTCTTCAGATTAAAACCAGTTGCAGTTGCCATCAAGTCAATTCTGACCCATAGTGACCCGATGTGTTTTAGAATAGAACTGTGCTTCCTAGGATTTTCATGGCTGTGACAGGCCTTTCTTCTGAGGTGCCTCTGGGTGGGTTCAAACCGCCAACGCTTTTGGTTAGTGTTGTTGGATGCCCTCGGGTTGGTTCCGACTCATTGCAACCCTACAGGACAGAGTAGAACTTCCCCATAGGGTTTCCAAGGAGGGGCTCGTGGATTTGAACTGCTGATCTTTTGGTTACCAGCTGAGTTCTTAACCACTGCGCCACCAGGGCTTCTTTGGTTAGTAGCCCATCCCTTAACCATTTGCACCACCCAGGGACCCCATCTTCTAGTTCTACCTATAAATCTGCCCTTTCTTCAATGAGCTCAAAGCAGAGACTTTTAGTTCCCATTTAGGTATTTCACTGGCCGTGCAAGTACTGGGAATGCTCATATTGAAATTTCCTTTCCAAGCGAAAGCTCACTTTTTAAAGGTAAATCCAGCTTATAAGTAGACCCCTTTGTCATTCCTCTCACTCTCTATTGTGTTCTGACTCCTGCTGTCTTTTAACTTTGTCTTTCTTCCAGCTATTGCACACGACATGCTGATGGGATGTGGGTAACATCAGCTTTCTAGGCGTGGATACTTTTGCTAGGAAAGAATTTGCCAGTGGAATTGATTTATCCCTGTGGTTGTTTTAGCTCTCCTAGCTGGAGGCCAAGGGCTCCCCTTAGTCCATAACGGGACACACATCTTAGGGATACAAGAAATCTTTCGGCTACAAGTGCAGAAGTACCTGGAAGAAATTTTCCAAGAATGGTGAGAGAGATTATAGGTAGCCACAGAAAGTCCAGATAATTAGAGAAATTTCAGTCGGATGTGAGAAAAAAGTGGCCTGCTCAGTCCATGAATTCTTGAGTATTTTTTACTAAAAGAATAAAATTTTAATCCTATTTATAATAATTTTCTAGATCCGCTCCAATTTTTCCATATTTCTATACTTACAGATCCACTCTATATCTACCTAACAAATGAGACGGAAAGAATTTAAATTGTAATGCTCATTTTCCACTTGGCATCCATTCTTCCTATGAAACCTATCTTGCATACTACACTTGGGATGCTACACATCTCACTAATTAAATGAGCCTTTTAAAAATGTTCTGTTCAATTATTTTCACTAGTCTGAATAAGTGTTATTTTTTTCTGTCATCTATACGGGTCATTTATTTTTGTGCAATTTAGAGGAAAAAATGTTTGAAATCCATCTATGTGACCTTGGCAAATGAGTCAAGGAATAGTAGTTATTACTACTATAACCACCGCTTTCTACATAGCAGCTAAATTTTACACCAATAGCTCAAATTATCCCTATCCCTACAGGCAACCAAAAGTTATGGAAAAAACAAAATTATGACCAAACTCCTGGACCAAATGAATTTTTATGTTCTTCCTGTTTTCAACGTTGATGGATATATTTGGTCATGGACACAGGTACTATTCTGTACTCTTGTTTCCATTTATATGATCTATTATTTTCCCGACTTCATGCACATCAATTGTTAGGCATTAAGTTTAATGTTTGTGCAACTAGTCAACTCCAATTTAGAAAAGTATATTTTTAAAAACCTCAATTTCAGACTAAAGCAAGGATGATTTCCTGGCTGCTTAGGTGTCCTGGAAGTAATACGAAATAGTAGAAAATATTTACTACTGAGGCTAATCATGTGGAAACAAAATTTAAAGCAGTAACTATAAAGGAAATATATGAGTATATGATATGGCAAAAGCTTATTCTAGCTAAGAATAAAAGTCATTTAAAGGCATTATATATACATTAATTTCAAAGCAGAAGTCATTGGGAAAGGATTTGAGGTGAAATCATTGTATCCCCCCACCAAAAAAAAAGAAGACAAACAGATATTGGGCTGGCTGTCTTTTAACATAATCCTTTATTCCCTGTTGTTGGTAAATAAGATTCATACCAAACTTTCAGAAAAATACTATCACATCAATTTCTTTTCTGAAAATTATGCCCAAAATAGTCACAATTTGCCCTGTATTATATCTGAATCTCCAAATGATGAAAGATGTTATGAAGTCATAATTTCAATTAGGGGTAATTTCAGAACACCATTGATCATGTTCTGATACTGACACCTAATCAGTAGCTTTCCAAACAAACTGAATTATTTTGGCCTAAGAATATAAATATAAGAAACAGTGTGTCTGGAAATATTATAAATTATGAGAAAGCAATATTTCCTCTTTATTATAAAGGGCCTCAGGTTAACTAGATAAATTTCAAACAAAGCTATAGACACCTGCAGAGAGAATCTGAAATAATCAAATTGAAAAATGAAAACTGATCTTGTATAAGCACTTCCATCATTCAATCCCACAGAACCGCATGTGGAGAAAAAATCGTTCCAAGAACCCAAACTCCAGATGCATCGGCACTGACCTCAACAGAAATTTTAATGCCTCCTGGAACTGTGAGTAGCAGACTTGGTCTCCAGGAAAACTGCTGTTAAGAGTGTTTAAACACCAACTTTAGCTAACTACCTCCTTATTTCGGTAAAGACAAATATTTCCTGGAGCTCCTGGTTGGTACAAACTGTTAATGTGCTCAGCTGCTATTGGCAGCTAACCAAAAACTTCGAGGTTCAAGTCTACCCAGAGACACCTCAGGCCTGGTAGACTTCCAAAAGATCAGCCACTGAAAACCCTACGGATCACAGTTCTACTCTGACACACATGGGGTCACCATGAGTCAGAATTGACTCTATGGCAACCAGTTTTACTGGTTTAGGTATTCCCTGAGTGTTAATTTTCTCATCTACTAAATGGAAGGTAATCATCATGAACATAGAGGAGTTTCAAATGTTTTGCTGTGGGGGTACGAGGAGGTAGTGTGTGTGGGGTTGTTTTTCAAGCCATCTTTTCCTTGATACATCTAACTTGCTAAAAATCAGGTACAGTCCAGAGGTCCTGTTCTCTTCCTGGTGATAAAAGTTGATAAATACTCAATGGCTAAAACCAACGTACAGGTAGTTCCTCAGATGTTTAGCACCCTGCTGGGGAAAAGAAAATGCAAAGGGCTGAGAGGAATGCAATGAAAGGGAGATTTTGAGAAGCAGAGACCTGCTAGATCAGGTGAAACTGTGCTCACTACACAAATGTGACTTCACGATTGCAGACAGTCAAGGCTAAGTTACCACTGTCCCATTTTGTATATGTTTTCTGTACCTGATTTTGTTGAAAATATCACCTCAGCTTTTAATTCTACTCTCCCACAGTGACTATGATAAAAGCAGCTATCCCAACAGAGAGCTTCCTGCTGAAACAAGCTGAAGAAACTCTAGCTCAGAAAATGTCATTTACATCAGTCCCCAGCTAGTAAGGGCTGGAGTTGAATTGGAGCTCGGGGCTATCTGACTCCAACTCCCGGCTGCTTCTGATGTATTATTTCTGTGACCCCAGTAAATGGAGGGGAAATAAATGAGGCGGAGCATAGTCCAATGGGTTAAATCTGTTACAAGGAGCTCTGGTGGTGCAATGGTTAAGCACTCAGCTGCTAACTGAATGGTTAGTGGTTTGAACCCACCCATCAGCTCCATCGGACAAAGACCTAGTAATCTGTTCCTATAAAGATTACAGCCAAGAAAACCCTATGGGGCAGTTCACGTAGGGTTGCTATGAGTCAAAAATCACCTTGATGACACCTAACAACAACAAGTCCGTTACAAACTGACATGTGTGAGCAAAGCTAGTCCAGAGTAACAGTGATGCTGAAGCTGCTCTGGGAACCTGGGAGACTAAAACATTTACAGCGTTTTCTGAATCCACATTGGAAGAGAAGGGGGCCGGACTGATGGAGAGCAGGTTGTGATCTCATTCACCCATGTCCTCCTGCAGCGCTTCCTAACACCAATAACCCATGTAGCGATACCTACCATGGCACTGCGCCAGAGTCCGAGAGAGAGACGAAAGCTGTCACTCAGTTCATTCGAAGCCACCTGAACTCAATCAAGGCCTACATCACCTTCCATTCCTACTCCCAGATGCTGTTGTTTCCTTATGGATACACTTCAGAGCTGACACCTAATCACGAGGACCTGGTAGGTAGAAAAAAGTCGGTGGTTTATGCACTGACATCACCATTGACTTTCAGTCTCTTCTTCATTAAAACAACATAGGTTACGTTGAAATCATTTCAAATTTTAATGCCAAAGTAAAGAACGATGGCGTTAAAATTGTAATCTTTAACTTTTCGATTGAAGTGTACAGAAAAAAAATCATTAAATGTGATTCTAAGAAAATGGGAAGCAATGTCTTGACCATCCAGAGTAGAATCCTATCACTACACAATTTGTGGAGTTTAACATTTTCCATGGGGCATACCGCAAGACCACACACAGCAAAAGCCTAACAGAACAGCAAAGACATCTGGTAGCCCTATCCCACTGACAAAAGATTTAAGGAGTTCGATTGTATTTCTAATTCCCTCATGGTGTAGTACTTAAAGCAATTGACTGCTAACTGAAAGGTCAGCAGTTCAAAACCACTCCATGGGAGAAAGATGTAGCAGTCTGCTTCCATAGAGATTTACAGTCTTGGAAACCCTACTGGGTTGCAAGAGTTGGAATCAACTCGACAGCAGTGGGTTTGGTTTGGAGTGGGTAAGCAGTATAGAAATGATATCAATCCATTTATTATCTAAAGAAAGAACATTAGAAATGCGTGTGACGCTTCTTCACTAAGAACATGCTGTCTTTCCAGAACTATAATCCACTAACAATCCTTTTCCTTTCTACGAAAACTAATACCATCATATTAGCTTATTTTAAAAAAAAAAAAAAACTCTACATTTGGGTTCCAATGAATCACAAAAACCGACAGGATGAATGGATGGATGGATGGATATTTTGAACTGTGGTAGAAGAAAAGAAATACAGCAGATAAAGTTCTGTGTCCTAAATCCCGTGGTGGCCAACAAATACAGCACATCCAGTAAAAGCTGTAGCTCAAGTACTGCCTCATTTGATTTAAAAAAAAAAAAAATTTTTTTAAAAGGTCACAATTGTCATTCTGATCTCAGTCAATTGCAGTCATCACAGCAGCATTTAATTCTGAGTTCGTACGGAGATATAAACCAGTCATTAAAACCATCTGTGAATGTAAAACAAAAAATATATACAAATAAACTATGATCCATAGAGTCCTTTGTTAACCAAACTAGCTGAAAATATGAACCCCTTAGTTTGTTTAATTTATGCAAATAAATAGCAAGGTAATTGCAATCTACTCTTAGGAAAATGGTATTAAGTGGTTAAAAAATACATATATTCACAACAAACCACTTTGAATAAAATAAGAGTTCTTACACAACAACTAAATTAAGCAAAAACTTATTTATTGGTTACACACTATATGTATGTATATATATAGATAGATAGATACACATATATACTACAAGAAATCTTCCAAAAAAAAGAAAATATTCATTCATTTGGAGTACAAATGTGTTAGTGACCATATTCTATTAAAGTTAATTCCAACAATCATTCTTGTAGCACAAAGCACTAATGTGTATTAAAGGTCATGAAATGCCCTTCTGAAAGAGAAGCTGTAATTTAACAGAACTGTTTTAAAGACGAGTCAGTCTTCTTTCTTCCCTTGGCATGCTAAAACCAGAGGAGTGGAGAAAAGTCTTATGGCAAAGTGAGACTTACAAAGGAAGGAGGAACATTGGAGAGACTGGAGAAACTAACTTTGGAAAATAAAAATATCTGAAGCCAGAAAAAAAATCTAAGAAGAAGAAACAATATATTTCAGGGTATTTTTTCTTTTTTTTCTTTTTTAAAGGAAGGTAGAAAGGAGGGAGGGAGGAAGGGAAGAAGGAAAGAAGGAGAGAAAAACCCAAAACAAGATTTGGCGTTGCTGTATATAACTGATTTCAAATTTAGAAGAGTCTTTACAATGACAAAATATCTTATGAAAATAGATTTCTCATTAAACCATTTATTTTATTTAGATCTTCAAACGCCAAATAACCAGTAAAATTGATTTTTTTAATCTCTAGTAAATTAATGTCATTTGCATAGTATGCTACTATTCCTCTCTATTCTTTCTCTCCAGGCCAAAGTGGCAAAGATTGGCACTGACGCTCTAGCAACTCACTATGAAACCCGCTACATCTATGACCCAATGGCATCAATAACCTGTAAGTTTTTCTCTATTATTCACTGTGTCCTTTTCCTTGATTCTTTTTTATAAATATTAAAGAAAATTATAGAACTAGTAGTTAGGGTTAGAATGCCTGGAATTGCTCATTTAAAATCCAGTTTTCATAGGAGATTTCTGAATTACATGCAAATCTAGGGGACAGATTCTGCCTTTTTTGGCAGGGGGAGAATTTGTAAAAGATTACAAAGTCAACAGAAGTTATTAAATGAAGACAAATTCACCGTTTGCTGCATCTACCTCCCTGTCCCCTGCCACCTAGAACTAGAACTAACAAGAATTCGTTCAAGAGGGGTCTACACTCCTTATTCTTTTTTTTTTTTTTTCTTTCTTTCTTTCTAACACTTAACTTTAATTCAACTATTTCTTCCTTGGCTTTGTCTATGTGCAACTAGAGCCTTTTCTCTATGTCCAGATAAGAAAACAGGTAGATAACCAGTTTCAGCCACTTTGGTCATGTAAAACCAGATTCCGGTCCCTCTCACCTGCCCTTCACTTTATGTTCAACTGAAATCTATGTGTAACTCCATGGTGGACTAAGAAAGGAAGCCACAGGGTTCTAGTGTGGTTGCTGTTGTTTTAATGTCTCAGCACCACTTCTTACACTTCACTATTTTTAGACTTTCTTTGTCTTTGTGCACTTTTGAATTAATAGACTTAGATTTCTTGGCCTTAGTTTTCTTGTCTCTTATTCTATATACCAGGGGTCAGCAAACTTTTTTCTACAAAAGGCCAGAGAGTAGATAATTTCGGCTTTGCTAGCCATAGGGCTTCTGTTGGAGCTACTCAACCAGGGCATTGAAGCTCAAAAGCAGCCACAGATAACATATTAACAAATAGACATGACTACGTTCCAATAAAATTTCATTCACAAAAACAGGCTGCCAGCCATAATGTGTCAACTTCCGCTATATACTAAATAATATCTGCAAATGTTTATGAGTCTTTCTTAAAAGTCAGGCACCATGCTTAGCCCTGGATTTTCACAATCTCAACCAATCCTCATAACAACCCTATGAGGTACTTATAACTAGCTGAGCTGGGACTCAATCCCAAATTTTACCAAGAACAAAAGCCATGATCTTTGCCACTGTGCATACCGCCTAACTGTTTGGTTTTTACAGCTGTTTTTAGTCATTCTAATCGGGATGGTCAAACATACAATAGGAGCCCTGGTGGCGTTATGGTTAAGAACTCAGCTGCTAACCAAAAGGTCGCAGTTCAAATCCACCAGCAGCTCCTTGGAAACCCTATGGGGCAGTTCTACTCTGTCCTATAGGTTCGCTATGAGTTGGAACCGACTCGACGGCACCTAACAACAACAAGAAACATACAATAATAGCTCCATGCCAACATGTGTCACTTCCAAATGCAAAGGCAAATGGAAGGATAGGGTCAAGAGCAATTACTATTCTATATAACTGTGTAGTGATTTTTTTTAAATTTTTTATTGTGTTATATTAAAACATTTCTAAAGGAATTCAGATTTGTAAAGGACTGCCTCTTCTGTACAGGGCTGCAGCAGCTTATTAATAAATGTTCAAATTTCCTAGGAGTGACTGCTTTAATAAAGCATCTGATTGAATGTTAATCAAACATTCATGAAAAGCAGGGGGTAACAGAGTGGATGACTTGGTAAGAATAGAAAATAAAGGCACCCCACGATTAAAGTTTAGTCATTCCAATATCCTAATTGTCACTTAACAAGTCCCTGGATTTGAGAAAAACATCTACATTTTTCTCTTTGAATTTTCAAGCTAATGGAGACAAAAAAGGGTTGAGGGGACATTTTTTAGATCCAAACTGCAGAGTGACCACTGACCTTCAGAAAAAAATAAACATGTTTGCAATTGGACCCTAAGACACAAATAGAGCAGATAAGTTTAAAAGCATAGAATTTGAAACCAGGGAGAAAACTAGGCGATGAGCTAGTCCATGGTTCTCGAGCCTAGTTTCCCGTTAGAATACTCTGGAGGGGTTAAAAAAACACGGATGACCAGACATTACCTCCGGAGATTTTGATTTCATTGATCTTAGTGGGGCCCAGGCACCGGCATTATTTAAAAGTACCCCCAATTGATTCTAAGATGATGGGTTGAGAATCACTGATCTAGCCTAAACCTGTCATTTTATAGAGTGTGAAATGAGATAAAGATTTTATCACTTTGAGGCAGAACAGGAACAAAAATCAGCCCTCCAGATCAGAGTCAAAATGGTATGCCTTCTATTTTGCCCCAAAGCAGCAAAATTTAGATGGCACAAAAATTGAAATAATGATTTTTAAAGATTGTGAAATGTTTACATTTGCGTAGTGACAGCACACCCAATCCTTCACCATCTTAGAAATAACTGAACATAGTACCTAGTTAGCAAGAAGAATTATTTGAATTGATAGGAACCAGGTAACTTGCATCATTCATATCTTCCATTTGTGAGTCAAATTCTGAATTAGAAAGTTGATTTCAAAGTGCCCTTCTTGTTGCCTGCCCCATACTCCAAAACAGCTAGATCTGCTCCTAGTTCTCAACCCAGTGCTGTTTTCACTACTCCACAGCACTCTACACACTGAAAAGGAGAAAACCAAGCCCTTGAATTTGTAGCTCACAACCTGAACTCCGCCTCTTAAGAGACATTTAAACTGAAATCACATGAAGGGGCAACAAACATGCAGAAAAAATATTTCAATTTATGCTCATGTGTTTGAAATCAGGAAGTTTCAGATGTTTCTGGCTTGAGCTCCTGGTTCAAGCAGAATTTTCACTTAGTGTTGATATAAAAGCACAGGTTACTATGTCTAATGCATGTCCATAATTGTTTTAACGAATGATATGCTTTTCTAGAAAGCACTGTGTCACGTAGGTAGTGGATGGGACACACAGGAGTCATCAGCATCACTTTATGTGGATTCCTTTGGGCTGAAACCAGATTCCTCATCAAACCAAAAACCAAACCTGCTGCCATCAAGTTAATTCCGACTCATAGCGACCCTATAGGACATAGTAGAACTACCCCATAGGGTTTCCAAGGAGCAGCTGGTGGATCCGAACTGCCGACCTTTTGGTTAGCAGCCAAACGCCTAACCACAGTGCCACCAGGGCTCAAAAAAAGCCGTAGCTGTCAAGTCGATTCCAACTCACATAGGGTTCCCAAGGCCGTAAATCTCTACAGAAGTAAACTACCACACCTTTCTCCCAGGAAGCCACTAGTGGTTTTGAACTGCTGACCTTTCAGTCACTTTAACCACAGCACCGTGAGGGTAGGTGATTCCTCATTAGGTGGAGTTTTATTTCAGTTTGTTTTGTTACTTTACAGCAAGTTCCCTGCACTTAACAGTGTGCCTTGAAAAGAATAGGAAATGTGGAGAATATTGAGAACATACTGTCAACAACAACAACAATAAAAAAAGCATTACTTTGTAGAACTCAGTGAAGACTTTTCCGTGGGTGAACTATAGATCGACATAGGCAATAGTATAGTACAACGGTTAGCAGCATGAACTCTGGAAACAGAAGCCTAGATTTGAGACAGAAGCCTAATTCCACCATTTGCTAGCTATGTGTCTTTGAATAACTACTTAATCTCTCTGTGCCTAAGTTTCCTCATTTGTGAAATGGCAATTGATACCTATAAGGTGATGAAGGGAATTAATTAAATGAGTTAATATATGTAAAGCAATTAGAAGGGTGCCTGGTATATGGAAAGTGATTATTATATTTTATAAATATATACACATAGTTCAGTGGGTACACACAGAGCTAAAGGACTGAATATCATATTCAACAAATTAAATTCTATAATGATGTAATGATGTATGTCTTATGAGTAAAAAACTTTGGATGTTGTTTTTATTTTATGCCTTAGTATAGTTTTTGTTTGCACATTTAAGGTTTAGAAGATAAAAAAGTGGCATCATAAAAGAAAATACATTTCATTCAATAACATCACATAATTAATGAAAAATCACAAATTACATATGTTCTCAATCACCACTATTAATCTTAATGAGAAATTCACATAAAGTAAATCTCTCAAAATAGAATATGCATACTCTTTAACCCTTTAAAATTACAACAGTTTAGTTAACTGCAAAGGGAGAGCTGTGCAGCTAGAAACCGACCAAACATATTAGAATGTCCAGCAGTCTCTACATTATCATGCAAGACGCAAGTCTTATTCACCCTACCTCCTTTGCTATCTACCTCTTACCTTTATGTGCTTTGTTTCTACTGAGCCTTAACCCAACTCTAGTTTAAAATAGCAGCCTTCTTCATCACCGAAGCCAGATCATATGCTCCACAAACTCCCTGCAACATTTGACCCTGTAGACACCCCTAATTCTGGGCATTCCTTTGACTGACTTCTTTGACTCTAAACTCACTTGGCTTGCTTCTGTCTAATGTGCCTCTGCTGACTGCCTCTAAAAGCAGACATTTCCCCAAAATAAGGTACAATATATAGATATTTCCAAAGATTCTTTCTTTAGGCCTCTTCTCTTGCTTCTGACTTTTCCCACCAGGGAAGCACGCTCTGCTCCCACAGGCCAGAGCATCCCATTTGTCACCTAGAGGCACCAGGTGCCCAACCTGGAAAAACACTTCTCATCCTCAAGAGATACCAGTAGGGATCAATGGAAGCTGCAGCAGCACTAGGCAAACAAACCAGACCAAAACAGCAATGCAAGTACTCTGAAAACTATATTGTTATCAGAACCGCAACCCATGAAAGTAGGCCAGGACTTGCATGCTAAACCTAGACAGAGCGACTGCCTGCTAAAGAGGAAAATTTAAGATAAGATTTAAGATTTAACATAATAGTCAAAATGTCTACAATATCATTAAAAATCCCTTGTCATACCAAAAACAAGGAAAATCGAACCTAAATGAGAAAAGACAATCAAGAGATATCAAGACTTAGATGATTTACATGTTGGAATAGTCTGACATGATTTTCAAAGTAGCCATCACAAAAATGCTTTAACAAAGAAATAAAAATAGCCTTGAGGCAAATGAAAAAGACAGAAAACCACATCAAAATATAAGATATAAAAAGGAACCAAATGCAAATCACAGAACTGAAAAATACAGTAACCTGAACAAAAAACTCACTGGAAGGGTTCAATAGCAGAGTGACATGCTAGAGGGAGAAATCAGTGAACTTGACTATAGAACAATAGAATTCACCCAGTCTGAAGAGAGAAAACATACTGGAAAAATGAACAAAGTTCAGGGCCCTGTGGCACAATAACAAAAGATCTAACAATCCTGTCAGCAGAGTCCCAGGAGAGGAAAAAAACAATGTGGTGGAAAAATATTTGAAGAAATAATGGCTGAAATTTTCCCAAATTTGGCAAAGGACATAAACCAACAGATTCAAGAAGCTGAGTGAATTCCAGACAGGATAAACCCAAAGAAACTCACACCAAGACACATCATAATTAAACTTGTTATTGTTGTTAGGTGCCGTCGAGTTGGTTCTGAATCGTAACGACCCTATGTACAACAGAATGAAACACTGCCTGGTCCTGCAACATCCTCATAATCGTTGTTATGCCTGAATGCACTTAGAAAACTAAAAACAAAGGAAAAAAAAAAAAAACTTGAAAACAACCAGATAGAAATAACCTAGAGGGAAAAAATAATTCAAATGACAGTGAATTTTTCATTTAAAACCATGGAGGCCAAAAACAAAAAAGTGACGCGTTGTTTTTCCTGTGCTGAAAGAAAAAAAGCTGTCAAGACTAAGAGGGACACTAGAGAATAATAAAAGGATCAATCCACCAAGAACACATAATGATCCTAAGTGTGTGTGCACCAAGTTCACCAACAATGCTTCTGCCAATCATTTCAAAATTCAGTTTTCCCAGCCCCTTCCTGAAAGTTCTATTGTTGTTAAACATATCCCTTTGTCTTCATCTGCCCTTTCTTTTCCCCACCACCAACCCAACTCCTTTCTGATTTCCTGTTTTTGTTAATAATATGCTGATTTTTTTCCCAGCCACCCAGACTGACACAATCATTTATTAAATTCTGTGATTCTTCCATTCCAGTGTTTCTTAAAAAATGTTTCTATTCCCAGTATGGTGACATTTATCCTAGTTCAGGCTTTCATTTCATAATACCTTCTAATTTGTCTCTACCCTTTCCAATCCAGATTAATCATCCTAAACGACAGCACTCAAGTGTCTATTACTGCCTCTCAAAATCTAAACTCGTAATCCTGATTTACCAGGTTTTTTAAGCTTTGCCTACAAACGCTCCTTGTTCCCTTTGCTCCAGTGCAACTGGCTCTCACTAGTCCTTAAAACTGCCTCCATGCTTTCCCATCGTTGTAGTTCACTGCCTGGAATTCCACTCTTCCATCTCCACCTAGAAAAATACTAGCCCTTCTTCAAACCATTGCCATCAAGTTGATTCCAACTCATAGCAACCCTATAGGACAGAGTAGAACTGCCCCCAGAGAGTTTCCAAGGCTGTAATCCTTACAGAAGCAGACTGCCACACCTTTCTCCCTTGGAGTGGCTGGTGGGTTCGAACTGCCGACCTTTCGGTTGGCAGCCAAGCACTTAACCCCTGCACCACCAGGGCTCCTTCCCTGTCTTCAAGGCCCTCCTCAAATATGATGAAGGTGGTATTTGAACAGGTGTTGAGCATGAAATAATGTCCTCCTCACTAGGCATAATCTCTTTTCCCTTAAATCTCCATAAGATATTGTACTTCTCCTGTGGTAGCCAGCATAGTCTGCCCTGTCTCTATTGATGTGCATCTTTGACTTCTCTCCCCTAAATTGTAAATTCCCAAGGACACCAATAGCATCTTTTCCATCTCTGTACCCTGCACTCTCTGCAGTGCCAAGTTAAGTACATTGTACATATTAAAGGCTTAAAAAATATTTATTGAATAACTTAAAAGCCAACTCTATCACTTTCCACCAAAATATTCCTTCTTTCTCTTTATCTTAGTTTTGAATCTTCATCTTCCAAGCTTAAAATGTTAATATCAGTTAAACTCATTACTTGTCCTATTACATAAATGATTTTATTTAAAATATATTTTTTATTTAAAAATATATGTATTTTGCATAAAGCAAAATAAACACAAGTGAACATTATAATACCTATATGCATTTGCATAAACCATATATAATATACATATATATAAAATCTCTATATGTGTATTTATGTTTTCAATCTTTTTACCAAGTAATAACATCCTTAGTAAAATGTCATAAAAGTTGACCTGAAAATGTTGGATTAGGGGATTAATTGCTTCCTTAAAATAACGAATTTAAGCTTTCTTTGTCTTTTAACTATAAAATAGTTTATCCTAATAACGTGAAGAGCAAGAGATCTGAACTACAGAAAAAAGGCAATACAGCTTCTATATATAGTTTTTCCTTGGTGGGTTCTCAGTGACCAGTGGCTTCTTCACACTTGGTTTCCTCCGCTGCGTGCATTTGCTCCAGCCACCTCTGCCTGCAACCATGTGTTCTCAGAGAATATAAACTCAGTTTAGTACCGACCCAACCTAAATGTAATTTAAAGGATGCAGCACATATTTAAAATGCATGGTGGATTCCAAAGCCAGGCTTATTTTGTACATGACACTCTACTACTCAGACCACTAGTCTCATTCATTACTGCGATTGAGTGTATGTGGAATTACTTTCTATCTCTAATTTTGTGCCAGTGAATTTCCATTTTGAGAGAATATTAGCTTTTGTCTCTAATTAAATATTTATTGCTTATGTTTTACAGACCCGACAACAGGTTCTTCTTTAGACTGGGCTTACGATCTGGGCATCAAACACACATTTGCCTTTGAGCTCCGAGATAAAGGCAAATTTGGTTTTCTCCTTCCAGAATCTCAGATAAAGTCAACCTGTAAAGAGACCATGCTAGCTGTCAAATTTATTGCCAAGTATATCCTCAAGCATGCTTCATAAAGAATTATTCTCAGTTTGGGATAAGCCAATTAATCCATTTCTGTGCCTTTCGTGGGAAAGACAACTGTCAGCTACCCCTGGGTGCAGCTCCATATCACATGACTAGGTCCTTCTCTTGCTCATCTAAGTACAGTGTTATTTCTGTTTGCTTTTATTTGCATTTAGTAGCACCTTAACAAAGTAGCTTTAAATGAAAGCTTTTACCCACCTTTTCTTGCTTCAAGGAAAGTCTGAACCTAGCAGGTAGTAATATTCTGAGTACTTTTGAAAGCGGATATGCAGTAGGGCCCAGGAAAGAAATGAGAACCTTCAATTTCTCCACAATCAGATGATGACCAGGTGGCTGCATCATCTCATGTGCTGATATAACAAAAATAAATGCATTTCACAGTTTTAAAGATGTAACTTCTGTTTTTGAGAAACTATATTCTCTGCATTTCTCTGTTAGTATTAATAATCACGTGTTTAGTGCCTTTCATTTAGTCTGTTAGTTAGAAAGAGTATCTTCAATTTTAAAACATGTAATTTGCCAATATTTATCTCTATATTAATAGAAGTAGACATTGATTATATCTTCACAATAGCAAAAGGTGTTATAGCAGGAAATAAAGTGGTTCATATAAAGATGAATCTCAGTACTTTAAGCAACCAATCCACTTCTCACCAACATAATGCACATTAAATTCAAAGTAATTGAATGTAACCTGCCATAATCAGAGGAAACTACCTGTCAAAACATCTCTTGGCAGTTACAGACATAGCTAAGACAGTCTTGTCAGCTGTGACCCCTACCCTCCCAACATCAGAAAAGCCTAAAAATGTATACATAAGTTAGAGAGAGAAAATCATGTTGGCTAAGGGCATTCAGAGTAACTTGTTACTTTTACACTGTCCACAATCCCATTGTCTAAGATGATGTTATAAAATACCACCCCCACCTCAACTCCTCAATACTTGATCATGTGACAATGGTGGTATCTACTTTCCAGAAATCCTGAACACAAATGTCCACCCCAAGGATGACCAGAATTTGAGGGACAAGTAGTGAGTTCCTTGACTTCCCATAGACTTATTTCTCAGAACACTCTGGATGCAATTTTCGAGGATCCCGAAAGATACTCAGAAATCAAGTCAACAAATACTGGGGACACACCTCAAGAATCCTTTAGAGACTTGTTAAAGAAAGGATGCCGTCAAATGTACAAGATGATGGTGTTTCTGATAGTCACAAAGTAGGTAAAAATGTCCCGTGCAAAATTTTCTAGGGAAAACCAATATAAGCTAACAAAATTGCTTTCCAGCTGGAGGAGGGGAAGGTGACAGAGTACAGAAAGTAAAAGACAAAACACTGTAGTTACGAGATTAACTCATTCCTTATAAGAATATATATATCTACACCTAATTATTTTTCACTCCAAAATGGCTCAGAACATGGGTATGTAAATTTTGTTCCATTCAGCGCGCCATAATGGAATTACACATTCATTCACACTTACTTCATCAACTGAGAAGAGGTTGAAATAAACTCTAACCCTAAAATTCACATAAATAACTCCACAGGATTTTTAGGGGGAGAAAGAAAGGGAGATATTCCCAGTTGTTGAATATTGTCCTTTGTTCATCCAATATTAAGTTTATAAAAGACACAAAACTTTCCCACACTACTTCATTTGACCAGTTGAGTAGTTTTATATTTCTTTTCTCAGTTGAGGAAAACAATCTGAATGGATAAAAAATAAAACACCATAAAAAGGTCATTTCTGCTCCTGACTGCATAGTTTTTGAATGATATCTTAGGTATTTTGCTTCTTTGACTTCAAATGACTTATTAAAATAACTATGTGAAGAAAAATGTCTGCATTAAAGTTTAAAAAATCCTTCATTTTTTATAGGAGAATGTTTGAATAGTCAATGCTACGATTCTTCCCTTGTCATTTCTCATTTATCAGTGAAAGGGCTTTGTAACCAACTTACAAGTGGTGCTGTCTAACAATATTCTTGACAATATATCCTATAAAAAAAAATCTTCTAAAACATCATTCCTTTTCTAATTTTCTTCCTACTAAATACAATTGAAGAGCATTGTTTCATATTTTGAAAATTTATAATTTTATGTCAGCAGTCCATTGTCTGAGTCACACATCACCATTATGTGAGAAAATTAAACATCGTATTGAATATTTTTACTAATGCAAATTAACGAGTTTCCAGTGAGTATTCTGACTTCAAACTGATTTTAAAATATTACATCAGCGGTACCCTCTCCCCACCCAACAAACTGGATACATGCTTTTCTTTCCCCCCATACCAAAATGTACACATACATTATTATGTGACTCTAATTGCTCTCCCCATACTGTTGCAGCATACTCCTCCCCACCCCCCACCCCCGATTCCCCATGTCCATTCAACCAGCTCCTAACCCTCTCTCCCTTCCTATCTCACCTCAGGACGGAAGCTGCCCATTTAGTCTCTTGTATCTACATGAGCTAAGAGGCACACTCCTCACGAGTATCACTTTATGTCCCACAGTCCAGTCCAATCCTTGTCTGAAGAGTTGGCCTCAGAAATTGTTTTAGTTCTAGGCTGATAGAGAATCCAGAGGCCTTCTTTCCGGGGTTCCTCCAGTCTCATTCAGACCATTAAGTCTGGTCTTCTTACTAGAATTTGAGTTCTGCACCCCACCTTTCCCCTGCTCCATCCGGGACTCTCTGTTGTGTTCTCTGTCAGGGCGGTCATTGGTGGTAACCGGGCACCATCTAGTTCTTATGGTCTCAGGCTAATGAAGTCTCTGGTTTATGTGGCCCTTTCTGTCTCTTGGGCTAACACTTTCCTTGTGTCTTTGGTGTTCTTCATTCTCCTTTACTCCAGGTGGTTGGGACCAACTGATGCATCTTAGATGGTGGCTTGCAAGCTTTTAAGACCCCAGACACCATTCACCAAAGTAGGATGCAGAACATTTTCTTAATAAGCTTTGTTAGGCCAATTGACTTAAATGTCCCCTGAAAGCATGGTCCTCAGACCCCTACCCCTTCTACTATGTCCCCCAAAGTGCTTTGACTGTATTCAGGAAACTTGTTGGCTTTGGTTTAGTCCAGTTGTTCTGACTTCTCCTGTAGTGTGTGCTGTCCTTCCCTTCACCTAATTCTTATCTACTACCTAGTTAGTAAATAACCCTCACCCTCCCTCCTCACCCTCGTAACCAACAAAGAATGTTTACTTCTGTGTTTAAACCTTTTCTTGAGTTCTTGTAATAGTGGTCTTATACAATATTTGCCCTTCTGTGACTGACTAAATTCACTCAGCGTAATGACCTCCAGCTTCCTCCATGTTATGTTTCACGGCTTCATCATTGTTATCGTTCCATAGTATTCCATTGCGTCAATATACCATAATTTGTTTATACATTCATCTGTTGATGGGCACCTAGGTTGTTTCCATTTTTTTGCTATTGTGAACAGTGCTGCAATGAACGTGGGTGTGCAAATATCTATTCGTGTGACGGCTCTTATTTCTCTAGGATATATTCCAAGGAGCACGATAGCCGGATCGTATGGTACTTCTATTTCTAGCTTTTTAAGGAAGTGCCAAATCGATTTCCAAAGTGGTTGCACCATTTTACATTCCCACCAACAATGTATAAGTGTTCCACTCTCTCCACAACTTCTCCAGCATTTATTATTTTGTGTTTTTTGGATTAAGGCTAGCCTTGTTGGGGTGAGATGATATCTCATTGTAGTTTTGATCTGCATTTCTCTAATGGCTAATGATCATGAGCATTTCTTCATGTGTCTGTTAGCCACCTGAATATCTTCTTTGGTGAAGTGCCTGCTCATGTCCTTTGCCCATTTTTGAATTGGGTTATTTGTCTTTTTGTTATTGAGGGTTTGCAGTATCTTGTAGATTTTAGAGATTAGATGCTGACTGGATTTTGTCGTAGCCAAAATTTTTTTCCCAATCTGTAGGTTGTCTTTCTACTCTTTTGGTGAAGTCTTTTGATGAGCATAAGTGTTTGATTTTTAGGAGCTCCCATTTATCTAGTCTGTCTTCTGGTGCTTGTGCATTGTTATGGTTCGTTTTGTGTTTATGCCATGTATTAGGGCTCCTAGCGTTGTCCCTATTTTTTCTTCCATGATCTTTATCATTTTCGATTTTATATTAAAGTCTTTGATCCATTTTGAGTTAGTTTTTGTGCATGGTGTGAGGTATGGGTTTCAGTTTTCTGCACATGGATGTCCAGTTATGACAGCGCCATTTGTTAGAGAGACTGTTTTTTCCCCGTGTAATGGATTTTGGACTATCGGCTGCTCATAGGTGGATGAATTTATGTCTGGATTCTCAATTCTGTTCCATTGGTCTATGTATC